TTGTAAAGGGAGCCTTATTGTAAAGTGATACCCATAATTTGTATTTTTCTCTTATTGAAATTCAAGGGTTTTTCTGACAAAAATGTTATAAAAAAATAAAAAACATGAACAAATATTACGAAACTTTAAATGAACGGTTAAGTCTGAAGTTGTTGAAAAGATTTAATGCAATTTTGTGTACAGTGCCCTGACACAACAATTGTAATTTGGCGTTACATAAATAAACTGAACTGAACTGAAACAAGAGTAATTTTTTAAAAGGCTTGAAGAAAATAGTTCAGTTCAGTTCTGGAACATACTCTTAAGTTTATGAGGTCATCTTAAAAGAGGGGTGCTTCATGCTACACCCCTAAAGAGGTAACAAAAAACAGAAAAAAAACACCACAAAATTCCTGGTTTTGGGGTCACTATCTCAGTTATTTTCCCCACTTTTGTGTTTGTAAACCACACATTTTGTTTTAACCTGTATGATGTGGCATGACACTGATGATGAAACATAAAACTGAGTGAACAACTTTAGTCTGAGACAAGCTCAGTTCTTGTTTTCATACAGATTTTAATTATCATCTTTGATGAAATCATGGGTCTTTTATTAGCACAACAGTCAGTAGAAGCCAATTAGATTCAAGAGTCATTGTGACTGCAGCCCCTCGGCGAGCTGTGGGAAATCATTACTGTAAAATGAACTGAAAAGCAGCAACAGAGTCGGACAGATGAGACAGCCAGGTTTCTCAGAAGGTTATTAGTGACCAGTAATGTCCTTCTTAATTTGCTGTGAGTGCTGAATAACTGATGATGTATGCAAGTGGTGTTCCTTCTACTTAGAGGTTATGGGATTTTATTTCTCTTAATTTATTCATTTCTTTTTGTCTTCCTGTCTGTTTTTTTTTCTCTCAGGCTCTTTTTCCTTTGCTAAAGGTAATTAAAGAAAGAAAAGGAAATCAGTAAAAACCAATAGAGGTAGGCCAGTGGGCAACATTTTTTTAATATTCACTCTTTCCCCTTTTTCTTTTCTACTTACTGCTTAAATTAAATTGATTTAACATTGCTTTTGCATATCTAATAAATGATGCAAAATAAAAAAATAACAAAATCCTTCTGAATTGCTTGGAAATAAAGTTAATGACAATTAAAGGCCTAGTATTTATAGAAGGAACGTGTGTCACCCACCACCTTTCAAGTCAGTTTTTTAATTAGCTTGTGCCGTAAAAAGACTAAGTTGAAACTGATTAGATCAAATCTTGAAAGTAATGTTATGATCAACGTCGTAATATCCCAAGGTGACACTGAGAGTATGTGCTGAGGAATCTCAGCTACTGCATTAAGTTTTAGCTCAGTGTGGGAACGTCTGATTGAGTTACAGCCGTTTTTGTTTGCTAACAAAGGACAGCTGCAGAGGCCATCATGAACTGGTTTGATGGGCAGAGACTGCTTGTTGAAAGTTTCATTAAAATCTGTTCAGTGTTTAATTAGATATTTTATCAACAGACAGCAGTTAATGCTAATGTTAAGGAAAAATTTCTTACAATAGGTGCTTTTCCATTGCTAAGTGTGGCTCCACTCGGTTCTTGTCTGGTCGGTTCTACTTGGATGTTTGTGATTTGCCACTGTAACTTGTCTCCTTGCTTTGTGGGTGGTATCAATGCATAGTAGGTGGTAACGTCTTTTGAAAGTGGGTGGTCTGTGCTTTTATTATAGAATAGAATAGAATAGAATAGAATAGAATAGAATAGAATAGAAAGCCTTTATTTTCCTGCTGAGGGGAAATTCAGGTGCCACTGCATCATCTCACAGCAAAAATGCCAGTGTTAATTCAACACCCACGGTTTTAATTTCAACACCAGCAAAGTGTCTARATGTGTCCACACTTGCTGGTGTTAAATTAACATTTGTGAAAGTGTTAAATTTTAACATCCATTTTTTTGTTAATTTACAGGGTATCTGCAGGGTTGTAAAAAGTATTAAAAGGTAGTAAATCAAATAAGCAAAAATTAAAGCCATTACAAAGTATTAAAAGATAATAAACGCCATCTGACGAGGVATTAATTTTTAAACAACTAGCGCACTTTCCCCATGCTGGAATCTGATGCTGCTGCATGGAAAACAGATTTAACAAACATTTCTCTGGCCCTATCTGAGACGCAGCTTTCACTTTAGACAGGCCTACTGGCCAATCAGAAATAGTGCGGGGGCGGGACTTAAGTGTCTCTAGTAGCAGAAGTTGGAGCGGTGTTTTAAACAAAATATATTTGTCAGGACACGTCTGAAAAAGAACAAGAGACTATATCAAAGCTGGAAGATTGTTAAAAGTCAGAAAAGATAAACCAGCAGAAGGATTACTGACTCCTCCCCCTGAGAGGAGCCGTGTGTCGGTGGATGCTAGCTGGAGCAGAGCGGGGGAGGAGAGAGGAGCAGACAGGTGCAGCAGGTGAGGAGATTAAAGTGATGACTTTTTTAACAGTGACCCAGGAGATAACATCAATCAACAGGTGTGTGTTTACTGGTATTAACTCTAAAATAAGTTTTTTTTGTTTGAATAAAACAAAAGTAAATTAAAGTTGTGTCTCAGATTTTTTTTCGTTGTTTTTCTCCAAAACTCTCAGGGAGGGCATTCTCTATGAAGAAGTCCATTTTATGTGTTTGTAGATAAATATGAGCTAATTTAAATCCCACACTGTATTGAAGTATTAAAGGGTTTTGGGAATTTGAGCTAAATTATTTATTTGCGATCAGACTTTATGTAAATTAATGCATGATCACATGAAACATAATTTACAGTTCTCACATAGATTCTGTTGATTTGGTTTGTTTGTAGTAAGTTTTTATTATTGTAGGGGTTTTGGGTATATTCTAAAATAGGTKATTTGTGACTCACAAATTAGCTTACCTCGAGGCACCACATTCTTTAATTCGATCAAGTATTGACCCAGGAAAGAAATGAAAAACTGTAACTTTATTGTAATCAGTCTCACAATAAATTGTACCCAAAATGATTTTATGAGTTTATGAGCACCTGTGTCACCAGGACAAATGTTCACCTTTACCCCTTTTGTTCTGCCTTGTGGGTACCAGGAGGGGAAGTCAGCGGTGGAATGTCATCTCTGGGGTTCGTTCTCCAGACAGGCTCTCCATGCAAACTGGACATCAGGCGGTCTGCCTGATAAACTCGACTGGTCCCTTGGTCAGGAAAGGGGGTCACTCTCTGGTGACTCGTAGTCTGGTCCTCCAGGTGGCTGCAAGACTCCTTAATTTGATTTCCACTTTGTAGAGAAAACGAGCTAAAATGACGCATGAATTACCATTAGCTTTCTGACTTCTATAAAATCAAACTCAGACATTGAGACGATATGGAACGGGAGCTATTCGATCAATCAGCGGGACATGTGGAATGACCCCATCCCACCAGCCATGGGAGGGGCTGGCAGGAAGGGTCTCTGAAGTTGAAAAGATCTCTTTATTCATTCACTGTCTCAAAAACCTTCACTGTCTTGAGAGCTGCACTAACTTTTAAAACCTCTGTTATGGGCGGAGTCAAGGTTTTAAGTTGGCCAATGAAAATATTACACCTTATAGAAGAAAAGTTTTTATAACAAATCAAATGTTTTGGAGGGGAAACTTTACTTCAGGACAAAGAAAAAGGGAGTGTTTTAGTTTAATTATCTTGCATC